AGCTGGGAGTACAGGCATACGCCACCATGCCCGGCTAATTTTTTCTATATATATTAGTTGGCCAATTAATTTGTTTCTATTTATAGTAGAGATGGGGTCTCGCTCTTGCTCAGGCTGGTTTCAAACTCCTGACCTCGAGCAATCAGCCCGCCTTGGCCTCCCAGAGAGCTAGGATTACAGGCGTGAGCCACCGCGCCCGGCCTGAATCTGATATTCTTAAGCAAAAAAAAAAAAATCACGGCTTTATTTTAGCTTTTGATATGAATTATACTAAATATAAATTCACATTTCAATTTGGGCCTTTAAGTTACTCTCAAAGGTTCAGGAGTAAAGAAAATGAATTCTGTAAAATACATAAAATATTATATCCTAAGTTAGGAAACAAATAAACTCACTCTATCAGTGGTGTGCTAGAATAATTTTTCCCAACTCCTTATTTGGTGACATCATGTTGGTAGCTTAAAATTGAACAGGGTGGTAGTATTCACAGCATAGAAATCAGCAAATGCCTCAGGGTTTCTTTCTCTCATAGAGCTGGTTGTTAAACATCTACCAGAACACCACTGATTATAGTGCCATTTTTAGGTGTCTTTTTTTTCCCCTACATTTTCAATGGGAAGTTAGAACTGGCAGAAGGCAGCATTTGAACTAGTATGACGATGAAGCAAGAGATAAAGGAATGTCAAGAATTACTACTTCCAGCAGCAAAATATTCTTCCTAGACAGCTTCTGTTTAGGATGAGTATCCTTTATTAGGATATAGGGATAAAGGCCAAAGGCCAAGTGTTTAAAAAAATATTAAGCAACATTTCCTTATAATGTAACATGAAGATGCTTTGGAGACATAAATTCATTTCTGAAACTGCACATATTTTTTTTTTTTTGAGACAGAGTCTCGCTTTGTTGCCCAGACTAGAGTGAGAGCCCTGGTGTCAGCCTAGCTCACAGCAACCTCAAACTCCTGGGCTCAAGCAAGCCTGCTGCCTCAGCCTCCCAAGTAGCTGGGACTACAGGGATGTGCCACCATGCCCGGCTAATTTTTTCTATATATATTAGTTGGCCAATTAATTTCTTTCTATTTATAGTAGAGACGGGGTCTCGCTCTTGCTCAGGCTGGTTTCAAACTCCTGACCTCGAACAGTCCACCCGCCTCGGCCTCCCAGAGCGCTAGGATTACAGGCGTGAGCCACCACACCCGGCCTGTACATATTTTTTGATAGGAACTCTGAGCCAGCGTACTCTTGATTTTGAGATTCATGACTGAATTATGGTTAGGAAAGGGCAAGAAATGAAAATATTTAATATTATATATATTAATAATAAGGAAGTTATCCTTGGAAAGGGCATTTCAAGTATCAGAAAAGAAGTATGTCCTTTCAGAGAATAGTAAAATGACAGCTAATGACTTGTGATTTTCCAATATTCATTTTTTTTTTTTTTTGAGACAGAGTCTCGCTTTGTTGCCCAGGCTAGAGTGAGTGCCGTGGCGTCCTAGCTCACAGCAACCTCAAACTCCTGGGCTCGAGTGATCCTTCTGCCTCAGCCTCCCGGGTAGCTGGGACTACAGGCATGCGCCACCATGCCCGGCTAATTTTTTTTATATATATATCAGTTGGCCAATTAATTTCTATTTATAGTAGAGACGGGGTCTCGCTCTTGCTCAGGTTGGTTTCGAACTCCTGAGCTCAAACGATCCACCTGCCTCAGCCTCCCAGAGAGCTAGGATTACAGGCGTGAACCACCGCGCCCGGCCAGTTGTACACTTTTAAATGGGTAAATTATATGCTATCTGGATTATATCTCAATAAAGCTGTTTTTTAAAAACTTCATATAGTTGTATAAGGTTGAAAACTCAAGTGTTGGCCATTCTTTGAGAAATAACAAATTAGTAATTAATTATTCTACCTTTTACAGGTAAATGGAAATCAAACAGTAAAATCTAAAGAAAATCGGAAGAGAAGTTACCCCAAATCTGGAAAAACTGTAAGTCTTATGATAATGTATAGGTGGAATAAAATGGCAAATACAAGAATATCATTACTGTAGATTAAATTCAAAATGATAGGCTGGACATGGTGGCTCACACCTGTAAATCATAGCACTCTGGTAGGTGGAGGCAGGCGGATCATAAGCTCAGGAGTTTGAGACCAGCCTGAGCAAGAGCAAGACCCCATCTCTACTAAAAATAGAAAGAAATTAATTGGCTAACTAAAAATATATAGAAAAAATTAGCTAGGAATGGTGTGGTGCATGCCTGTAGTCCTAGCTACTAGGGAGGCTGAGGCAGTAGGATTGCTTGAACCCAGGAGTTTGAGGTTGCTGTGAGCTAGGCTGATGCTACAGCACTCTAGCCTAGGCAACAGAGTGAGACTTTGTCTCAAAAAAAAAAAAAATTAAAAAGTATATAAAATAAAATAACATAAAATGATAAATTTGCTAACATCTCTGGATATACCTGAGATCTCTGATATTCAAATGTTTGTTATATTTTGTTCTAAAAATTGAGGTAATTTTGAAGCAAGATGTGCTATGTAGGTTTATTAATTTTTTCCATATAAATATCTACTGTCTCATTTTATGAGTGATTTAAAGTAATTAGAGGAATTTATAAAATAAATAAAAAATCAGTATCAGGAAAAATGAGTAGAATTGAGAAGGTGACAGTACAAGAATATTCAGGCCATTTTGTTTATATAGAGCTGAAATTGGGCCACAAATGTGATCTGAGCTTTTTAGAGACCAAAACTAAGTAGAAGCAGGATAAATTACCAAATCCATGTGTTCCCTAAAAATACAGTGTTTCCTTCTAGTACTTCAGGAGGAAGAAAACTTTTCCTGACCTTAATCCTATAGTTTTTTTATATTTGAACCTTATTTTACCAAATTAGATCGTGTATTTGTCATTTCTGAGATATTCATATTTTTCCAACTAGACATTTTAGTAGTATTAGTAGGTTAAAATTAAACAACTGAAAACATAAGACTGTGTTTAAAAAATCAAATGTTAAAGGGATAATTATAGTTGGTTAATATTGTTTTCAATTTCCCAATAACTTAGGAAGGAAATGGAGTAACCTAACATTTCATTAATAAAGGCTCTTTAATTTTTACCAATGAATTAAGCCTTGATTTTTTTTCCTGTAAAATCTTAATTCAATTTGTTATTCCTAGTGAGTTTAACTTATCAAAATAAAAGTTCAATAACTCAGAGATATGAATTCCCTAATTCATGCTTCCATTCATTCAAAAGTATGCATTGAATGTCTAATATATATCAGGCATTGCTAAGTACCAAGAATACAAATTTGACATGATTTAAATCTTCCATGGTGCCAAAGTAGAATGTTTTTCTATTTGTAGTTCATTTTGAAATCTTTTTTCCCTTCTTATTCCTCCAAAGTATTTTACTATTTTGAGGATATAATGTTAAATATGTCTTCTAATTACTACAGCAGCCCTAATGAAGATCTTACATTTTGCAAGTCCATATTTTCAGTAGCCATTGGAAGATGTACATATGTCAATAATAGGTTTTAGCCGGGCGCGGTGGCTCACGCCTGTAATCCTAGCTCTCTGGGAGGCTGAGGCGGGCGGATTGCTCGAGGTCAGGAGTTCGAAACCAGCCTGAGCAAGAGCGAGACCCCGTCTCTATTATAAATACAAAGAAATTAATTGGCCAACTAATATATATAGAAAAAATTAGCTGGGCATGGTGGCGCATGCCTGTAGTCCCAGCTACTTGGGGAGGCTGAGGCAGGAGGATCGCTTGAGCCCAGGAGTTTGAGGTTGCTGTGAGCTAGGCTGATGCCATGGCACTCACTCTAGCCTGGGCAACAAAGCGAGACTCTGTCTCAAAAAAAAAAAAATAATAATAATAGGTTTTACTTTACTTTTAAAGAACCCAGGTATTCTAATGTAGTAGGAAATAGTTATGCTAGGTATAATTTTTTTGAAAGGAAAGAGACCTCAGAGACATGAAAAAAAATCTAAAATTAAAGATGTTTAAACTAGAAAGTATCTGTTCTTAGTAGTTGTTTTCTTTTGACAGGTCCATCCCTTTGATTGTTCCAGTCAAGAGTCAGTGCCAAAAAGGAGAAAGTTTAGTGAACCAAAGGAACATATATAAAAATTACTTTTTCTTCTAAACATGTGCAAAGTTCTCCTCAACATTTAAATTAAAGAACACTATATTTCTGTTTTAAGGTGTGTTAACTCTGAAAATATATATGTAGTTTTAAGCAGTTCATACACTAAATTGAAGTTCTTAGCTGACTGTCATGTTGTGGTCCTTAATCTTATTTAGGGTAAATCCAACAGAACTTTTGAATAAAACTAAAAGTATAAATGTTCATTACCTAGTCAATATTGATCTATCTTCCACTTTTGTGGACACTTCCTTGAAATATATATTAACTTTTAAGGCCTTCTAAAGCCATTTTTGAAACAAGTGATGTTTACTTTGATATTAAATATTTGGTAGGGATTCACTTTTTACTTGTGTTAAGACTATGCCATTTAACTGGGTGTTTTAGTCATTGTGTTGTTATTGAAACAATGTTCTTCAATACTTTGATATAATGTATTAACATAACATATAATGTACAATTTAAAAATTGGTCCTTTCATTTTTTTTACATTTTTTACTGCCGGCCAAAAAGATAACTGATTTTTAAAGTGTGACATTTTTAGCAGCATAAATAAAATATTGTTCAGTATGTAGGCTTTTTCATGGCTTCTAATTTTTATTTAATTAGCAGAAAATGTTTAGGTACTATTTTTTAGATTATTTGGTAGGTATTACTTTGGAAGAGTTGAGCACACTTTCTACATCTTTTGACTGGTAGTATGAAAGATACTGTGCTTTTAATAAGAAACCTAAAAGCTAGTTCCAGCCTTGCCCATTTTCTTTGCTTTAGAAAAGGAAGACTTAAAACTTGGTCTGCTTCCCCTTATAGTTTCAGCAGCCATATTCCAAAAATAAACACTATCCATAGGTTTGTCTGTAATAAGCTCTATAGGGAATGTTGATATGTATGGTATGGTAGAAATGCACCCCTCCTTTTTAAGGTAAACCGAATAAACGTTCACAAACTGACCCGTATCACATTTTTCTGGAACAGTCAATTCAGGGATAAACTGACTGCCAGAAAAAAAACAATTTTAAAATGTTTATTTATTATTAGTTGTACTGCTTGGATCCCAACACAACTCACCTAACTGTCCTAGTATACACTTACACAGTAACACACACCTGCTGCACTGAAATTGACCAACAGAAACCTTTCCAGATTGGCAGCCCGAGTTAGCTCACAGAACGCTTTGATTGGTCGGCTTAATGGAGTGGGAGGAGCGCAGCCCTCCTGTGTCTCTTCCACTAAGGTTCTTTCATTGGATTGACCAGCTGTCAGGTTGAACACAAAACTGCCTCCTTTTGGTGGTGTTTGTCTGGATCGCAACACAATAGCCGGGTGGAGAGCCTCCCCTCATAAGCTCCGATTGGCTGGGCTCAACCTTGGTGATTTCTGATTGGCCCAATGAAGAAACACCAAGGTAGGTTGCCTAGTGATCCTGAGGAAGCTGATGTGTTATTCCTTCTCTGCATCGAAGGATCAGGAAGTTTGTGCTCTCTGCGTGGCTGAGAAGTTTTTCACCTACTAGGACGGGGGTGGGGTGGGGGAACAGGTGTTCTCCTAAAATAGAGTACAAGCTGCAGCCTGCGTCCACCCGTAACCCAGGAGTAACATCAGGTAAGCAACGAGAAAAATCACATTTTCTAACGTCCAAAAAAATCTCTAAATTTTTTATTTTATGGGAAGAGGGAGGTTATTATTTATGTTTTTATTTTGGGCCATTTGTTTCTTTCAAATAGGATTTTTAACTAGTAAATGTCCGAGGGAAATTAATTCCTCAAAGAAAATTCTTCTTTATTTTCTTTCCCCTGAAGGTTTAGTTTTTTGCTTTGAGTTAGGAAATAATCCGAATTCACTTGTGCCAAATAGGGTTAGTGCCCTTAAGCATTTATTTCGTGGTTCTCTTCCTCCTTCACTCTTCTTCCTGCCTCCCACAAAAAAATTGTGAATATACCCTTATGCAAAGAATCTTTGATAAGTTACTTGATTTGTATTTCTATTTTAAATGTTCACATGCATTTCTGAGTATTCATTTTAATCAGTATATATTTATTGAGCAGTTGCAACATTAAAGACATTTTCTAGTTGCTATGGAGAATATAAAAACCCAAGAAAAGACTATCCCTGCTCTCAAGAAGTTTACAGTTGAGAGACAGCCATACCAAAAGAAAGACTATAATAAATACTTTAAAGGAAGTAAGTATAAAGTTCTGTGAAAGTACAGCTGAAGGAGAGTCCACTTCTGGCCAGGGGGCATATGAGTAATAGAGAGAGTGAAGGAAATTCACTTAAGGCTTCACAGTGGGTCAGTAGGCCTTTGAAGAATGGGTGGAAATTAGAGGAAAAGGGAGAGAACCCCAACAAGTACAAAGGAGCAGAGGCAGAAAGAAAGCATGTTTGAGAAAAGGTTTCACAACCGTATATATTGGGAATAATGGGAAATATTGCTAGAAGGTAGAACTGGGTCCAGTCATAATGGCTCTTAAATACTATTCTTTTGATTTTGAAAAAGATATTAGTTTATACAATTGCTAATTAAAAATATTTGTTGGTGGGGTGTGGTGGCTCACACCTGTAATCCTAGCACTCTAGGAGGCCAAGGCAGGATGATTGCTTGAGCTCAGGAGTTCGAGACCAGCCTGAGCAAGAGTGAGACCCCATCTTTACTAAAAATAGTAAAAAAAAATTAGCTGGGAGTAGTGGTGCATGCTTGTAGTGCCAGCTACTTGGGAATGTGAGGCAAGAGGATGTCTTGAGCCCAGAAATTTGAGGTTGCTGTGATCTAAGCTGATACCATGGCACTGGGCAACAGAGTGAGACTCTGTCTCAAAAAAAAAAAAAAAAAAATGTGTTGTATATCATCTTAAAAACTGCCAACATTAAACTTTATCCTAGATAATTTAGTGCAGTTTTTTATGACTGTAGATTTTTTTTTTTTTTTTTTTTTTTGAGACAGAGTCTCACTCTGCTGCCCGGGCTAGAGTGCCATGGTGTCAGCTTAGCTCACGGCAACCTCAAAATTCTGGGCTCAAGCAATCCTTCTGCCTCAGCCTCCTGAGTAGCTGGGACTACAGGCATGTGCCACCATGCCCAGCTAATTTTTATTTATTTATATATATATATGTTTTTTTAGTTGTCCAGATAATTTGTAATTTTTTTTTTTAGTAGAGATGGGGTCTCGCTCTTGCTCAGGCTGGTCTTGAACTCCTGGCCTCAAGCTGTCCTCCCGCCTCAGCTTCCCAGAGTGCTAGGATTACAGGTGTGAGCCACCATGCCCAGCTTATTTCTTCTTTTCATGCATTTTTAGTATGCATGTTTGAGTATCTATATTTGTTTATTTATATAAGCACACATACAGATATTTTTTCACCATTCCTGCAGGAATAGGTGAGAATGACCACTTTAACTCATCGGGCCCGTCGAACTGAACTAAGCAAGAATTCTGAAAAGAAGATGGAAAGTGAGGAAGACACTAATCAAGAGAGGAGTCCAGAAGATGAAGACTCTGGAGACTCTAAGGATATACGCCTCACCCTTATGGAAGAAGTATTGCTCCTGGGACTAAAAGATAAAGAGGTAATTCAGTTAGGTTTGCTAGCATAGCTCAAAGACTATTAAATATTGGAATGTTTTAAGAAGTAATCTGATGGAGTATTTTCATTAATGCCAAATTTGCCTTAGAATTGTGCTTGGACCATCTGGGAGTTGGAGAAGTTTGGGAGAGTGACTGATAATTTCAGTATAAAATCCAGAAGTATATTGGCTGGTCCGAAGGTAGTGAGTTATCTCACGTGATTGTTCACAGTCAGTTACAGATTGAACTCCTTGTTCTACTACTTTCCCCCCTCCTCACTACTGCACTTGACTAGTCTTTAAAAAAAAAAAATAAATAAAATAAAATAAAATCCAGAAGTATAATTACTTGAAGTGTAATATAATTACAAAATCACTCCAAAATTTTAGAGGATACAGGTGAGGAGAATATAGTATAAAGTTTTATACTTGAAATTTCTCATGTAAGATTGATGGTGAAATAATAACCACTTATTAAAGTAAAAAAGAGGGCCCACACATTGAAGTCTTCTTAAGCTTTGGAAAAAAAATGTCTTTTAAATGAAAAGATAAGGAACATGTGATTAGCTGTCTTACAGAAATAATGAGTAGGTTTCTTATAGGAGAAATAATTTTTTAATTTTCTCTGTATATCTTTATAAGTTGAATATCAACAATGATGAGGATTATTTTAATTTTAGAAAATTTTTTAAAAGTTTAGCTTTCCCTTTCTAATTTTTTCCTTATTAATATAACATTTATTTTATAGTACAGTTAGTCTTGAGATAGTGAGTTTTGTGATATAACAAAATATTTTCTTGGCTTTTCTACTTGTATATATTATCCTTCATTTGTAACTTTTTACTGTTTTCGCATTACTCTCTAACCTTATGAAGAAGTTATAAAGGTATAGATGTAATATTTTGTACATATAGTTGTAATATTTTAAACAATTTGCTTTCTTTCCAAGAAAGTCTTTAGTAAATAACAAAAAAAGGTATATTTATTATAGGCCTCTGAAAATATATAAAATTAAAATGTTACATTGGGTGCAGTGGCTCACACCTATAAATCACACCTATAATCCCAGCACTTTGGGAGGCTGAGGCAGAAGGATCACTTGAGGCCAGGAGTTCAAGACCAGCCTGGACAACACAGCAGGATCTCATCTCTATAAAAAATTTTAAAAATAGCTGGATGTGGGGACATGTACCTAGAGTCCCAGCTACTCAGGAGGCTGAGGCAGAAGGATTGCTTGAGCCCAGGAGTTCAAAGGGTACAGTGAGCTATGATCACACTACTACATTCCAGCCTGGATAACAGAGTGAGACCCTATCTCAAAAAAATAAATAAATGAAATAAAATGTTACTTTATATTTTAAAAAATACTAAATTTGGCTTTGATAATTGTCCTTAGCTAGAAATGAACTGGCTGCATACATCTAGTAACACCTCTTCTTTTCTACATTAATTCCTCAACTTGGGAATACCCTTGTTTCTTAGACTTAGCATTTTATTTATTTGCTATTTTCCTTTCTCTGTTGTTTGCCATGTTGAATTACCAATTTGAACAAAATTTAAAAGATCTGTGATAGTCTGTATGTTGTTAAAACGAATATTAGAGACATGTCCATATGTACTTGGCCAAGACACAGGTATATCAGAAATTCTTGCCTAGAAGTGTATTTTCCTGTTTGCTGAGAAAGTTGATGAGGCTCCAGTTTTATAAAATGCAAATAAATGGAAAGCCAAACCAGCTCTTCAAGAGAATGTCAGAATAGGACCGAAGATTAGGTGATATTAAACACTGTTTTGAGATGTGCCTAGGGAACATTTCCTGACTGTGTAAGAAGAATATATAGAACTAAAAGCTATTTGGTTTATTCTAGTTTTGAATCGGAATGATTAATTTCTTGTTGAACCTAGGCACTAGAATTTTTGCTTCTATGCTCTAGAGAAACTGCGTTTGGACTTGTCTTTGTGTGTTTATAAATTTCTGATAGTTCATATAAATTTTAGGAAATACAATGAAAAATAAAGGAGTTCATTAAGAGCTATGGCCATAGTAAGTACTTCACATATTGGTGAGATACTGTGCAAGATAAGCAGATAATAATTAACCACCTTTTGAATTGCTCTAATTTTATTTTTGAAGATAGTTGACAAATTTTTAGCTTTCAGTTGGCTCAGGTACAATAAGAAATGATAAATCCTTAGGTGTAAATGAATAGGAGAGATCAAACCTTGTGATTTATTTAAGTAATAGTTACAAAATGCCAGTTACATAATTATCCCTAAAAATATTGATTTCCAAGTCTACTAATTTTTTCTCATCTCCCAAACTATTAGTAGATTTATTTAGTCAATATTTAATGTGAGGAGGGTCACCCATTATGTGCTTAGCATTATGCCAAATACTAAGGTAAATGTAAAATAGTAATAATTTATGATCCCTGCCCACAAGAAACTTGCATTCCAGGCTAGGCGTGGTAGCTCATACCTGTAATCCTAGCACTCTGGGGGGCATAAGGCTGGAGAATTGCTTGAGCTCAGGAGTCCAGCCTGAGCATGAGCAAGACCCCGTCTCTACTAAAAATAGAAAGAAATTAATTGGCCAACTAAAAATATATAGAAAAAATTACCTGGGCATGGTGGTGCATGCCTGTAGTCCCAGCTACTCAGGAGGCTGAGGCAGGATTGCTTGACCCGAGGAGTTTGAGGTTGCTGTGAGCTAGGCTGCCACCAAGGCACTCACTCTAGCCTGGGCAACAAAGCGAGACTCTGTCTCAAAAAAAAAAAAAAAAAAAAGCCAGACACAAAAGAATACTTTCTGTATGATTCCATTTATATGAAACTCAAAAAACTATAGTGTTTGGGGTTGCATATTTAGGTAGTAAAACTATAAAGAAAAGCAGGGAAGGAATTGCTATAATTTTTAGGATAGTGGTTATCTTTGTTTGGGGGGTGGGAGAAGGAAAGGGGTGATAGTGATTAGGAAGCATGAGGGGGATTTCTGGATACTATTAATAATAGTTTTCTGTTTCTGGACCTGGAGGAAGTTTCATAGGGCTTCACTTTGGCATAATTGAGCTTTTCGCTTTTGTGTTCTCTTCTGTATGTGCATTATATTTTACAATACAAAAGATTCTCTTAAAAATAAATAATAAAAAGCAAGTTTTTGCATGTTAGAACAATGAGCAGAGGGAGTTAGAAAGAGGAGAAATCATCATGGGTTGGAATAATGGGGAAGAATAGAAGGCATTAAAACAAACCATGCCTTTAAGAATGGGCAGGATTAACATGAATGGAGAGAAGGGAACACAATTTGGATGAGAGAACCTGAGTGAGTAGAATATCATGAGTTCATTGAGTTTGGGAGAAAATTGAGTAGGCTAGTATAACTGAAGTAGGTGGAGAACAATGACATTCAAAATTGGTAAATTAGATTTAGACCAGATTATAGATGATTTTGATTGTCAGGCAGAGACATTTACTCTTTCCTCTAGGTAAAAGAGAATCAGCCTAATGAAAACAACAAACCCCACTTAACTTTTGTGTCCAAATTAAGGATTTAATGACATTTTTACTGTATGTCCTTTCAGTATATCTTTTCAGAAGTATATAATTGCTTGTTTTTACATGGTTTGAGGTTTGTGACATGTCAAAAAAAATCATAAATGTTAAACTTTTTATCCTAAACTCTCAGTTAACTTTTGCTGAAAGATCTCCATAAGATTCTCTGTTACAGTAGGCCATATATTCAAATTGCCTGTGAAATATTGTTATACCATTCTTTAGATTCTTCTGAGTAGTTGCCACAGACTGGTCTTAAAATATTAAGCTTCGTTGTCTTATGAAAACAATCAAGAAATTTAAATATAATTCGAAGAGTCTAACCTTTCAAGCACAGTAAAAATTAGATATTATCTGAGTTCAGTAACACTGACCTCAAATGAGAAAGTAAAACTTGAGCACCAGCCTGACCAAAATAAAATAGATTTATTTCCTGCTGAAATCGGGTATCTATTTGTTGTTATTGCCTTTGGTAAGAGTTTTGATACAGATATTATTGATTCATGAATAATTAATGCCTTAATTGAATTCCTAGTGTATTTAAAACCTCTCATTTATTAGAAACTTTTATTAAATTACTTGTAAGACTAATGAGCCTATTAATGCTTTTGATTTTTGGTCATAATCTTTTAACTTCTCACCTTTTCATTTTTTTTTGAGGCACAGTCTCACTCTTACCCAGGCTAGAGTGCCGTGGCGTCAGCCTAGCTCACAGCAACCTCAAACTTCTGCTCTCAAGCAATCCTCCTGCCTCAGCCTCCCGAGTAGCTGGGACTACAGGCATGTCCCACAATGCCCGGCTAATTTTTCTTATATATATATATTTTTAGTTGTCCAGCTAATTTCTTTCTATTTTTTAGTAGAGACAGGGCCAGGCGAGGTGGCTCACGCCTGTAATCCTAGCATTCTGGGAGGCCGAGGCGGGCGGATTGCTCGAGGTCAGGCGGATTGCTCGAAACCAGCCTGGGCAAGAGGGAGACCCCATCTCTACTATAAATAGAAAGAAATTAATTGGCCAACTAATATATATAGAAAAAATTAGCCGGGCATGGTGGCGCATGCCTGTAGTCCCAGCTACTCGGGAGGCTGAGGCAGGATTGCTTGAGCCCAGGAGTTTGAGGTTCCTGTGAGCTAGGCTGCCGCCATGGCACTCACTCTAGCCGGGGCAACAAAAGGAGACTGTCTTAAAAAAAAAAAAAGTACCAATTGCTTTGTTTTGCATTTCCTTGTCAGTGAGAAAACATTAACAGGTTGTTTTTATTTTCTGAACTTTTGATGATGGCTTTATTTTAAGAAAAAAAAAAAACTCAACTGGAGGCCCTGAGAAAACTAATAAAGTAATCATTATAATTAGTTTTATATCTTTCTACTCAACTTTTTAAACTTTTTTTAAAGATAAGAATCTTTCTCTGTGGCCTCTGATAGAGTGCAGTTGTGTCATCATAGCTCAC